AGGGGGCGGGCCGAGGGGCGGGATGGGGAAGGGGGCGGGCCGAGGGCCGGGGCGGTTTTACTGGCGCAGTAAGCCTAACTTCCCGGATGTTTGTTTCCTGATGTTTGGTAGGGTATGATGATTAGTACCTGCCTTGTCTGGTTTTTAGGGACAATGAATGAACCAGCTAATGTAATCACAGTGATCCCTATACTGGGGGCTCGGTCCCTGGTAACGGTTACTATGCCAGTGACTCTAAAGCCAGTTTTCTTTTCCTTTTTAAATATTAACGCTTCTACTTTTCTCCCTAGGAAGGTGGTTCTTAAACCTCCGAATCTGGAGGCTTTACTAAACCACGTGAACTTCAGCACAGCAGATTGGTTGTTGACGTTTGTTCAGTCAATATTTAATAGGGACCTACTATGTGCGGGGCTCTGCTAGTTTCTGGGTTTAAGACGATGATGAAAACAGTTCTAGGCGAGCCTACAGTCTGAGAAGAAGATGATGTTCAACAGGAGGTAATAAGCCCGTGTGTGAAGGCCCACGTGATATGTGACCTACTAACAGGTAAGCTGCCCAACATAGGGGTCAGGGAAGGCTCCTATTTAAGTGGAGGTTTGAGGGATGAGGCGGGAAAAGCTCATTCCAGGTTGATGAAACAGCCTGTGCAAAGGTCCCAAGGAGGCAACTGGTGAAGAAACTGGAAGAAGGCTCAGATGGCCTGAAAGAAGTCAACGTCTCATGTGAACTGATGTTGGGGAGATGGACAGGGACCGGGATCTCTGGCTATGGTAAAGATTTGGGGTTTTATCCTAAGAATAATGGGAAACTATTTTCTTAAAGGTTTTGCTTTTTGTATTTCATATAGATGATTCTAGCACTAGTATAGAAAATAGATTGCAGGGATGGGGCGGCTATTGCAGTTTAAAGCTATAGCCATACTCCAGAAGAGAGTGATGGAAGCTTGGAGGGCTATGGAGAGACATATACAGAGTGGAGAGGTTTTGGAGGGAAAAGCATAAGAACTGGGAAGTGGATTGGATATGGAGTATAGTGAGGGGCGAGAGGGGACAGACAAGACTCCTGCCTTCAGCACCTGGATTGCTGGTGCTACTGAGATGGGGAACACTGGACAAATACAGGTTTGGAGGGAAGGGGTTGAGGAAGACCACGTGTTTGAGGTGCCTTTGAAACATTCCTGTGGAAATATCAAGGTGTTGGATATATACATCTGGAGCTCAGAAGAGAGATGA